CACCGGTGTAGCCTCTACAGCAAGGGGGCGATGTGGAGTTTGTGTCTCTGTAAAAATATAAATAAATGTCATTCTCCTCTGGTTCCTGTTGTGGTTCCAGTCTGGATCTGGGGCTCGGGCTTCGTGTCCATCACCATCATCAGCCTGCTCTCTCTGCTGGGCGTGGTTCTGGTGCCCATCCTCAACCAATCCTGCTTCAAGTTCCTGCTCACCTTCCTGGTGGCGCTGGCAGTGGGGACGCTGAGCGGGGACGCCCTCCTCCACCTGCTGCCCCACGTGAGTAGAACCAAGAGTAGAACCCAGAGTAGAACCCAGAGTAGAACCCAGAGTAGAACCCAGAGTAGAACCCAGAGTAGAACCAAGAGTAGAACCCAGAGTAGAACCAAGAGTAGAACCAAGAGTAGAACCCAGAGTAGAACCCAGAGTAGAACCAAGAGTAGAACCAAGAGTAGAACCCAGAGTAGAACCAAGAGTAGAACCCAGACCAGGACGTAGAGTAGAACCAAGAGTAGAACCAAGAGTAGAACCCAGAGTAGAACCCAGAGTAGAACCAAGAGTAGAACCAAGAGTAGAACCCAGAGTAGAACCCAGAGTAGAACCAAGAGTAGAACCAAGAGTAGAACCCAGACCAGGACGTAGCTTTGTGTCAACTTCCTGTTCATCATCGAACACTGCATTGGCATGTTCAAACACTACAAGGACCAGAGAGTAAGAGACTGGTGATGATGAAGATGATGAAGATGAAGATAATGGTTATGGTGATGATGATGATGATGAATATGAGGAAGATGATGATGGTGATGATGATGAAGATGATGAGGATGGTTGTGATGGTGATGGTGATGAAGATGATGTTGATGAAGGTGATGATGATGATTTAGTCGGTGATGATGAAGATGATGGTGGTGATGATGATGATGAAGATGAGGAAGATGATAGTTATGGTGATGATGAAGATGATGATGGTGGTGATGATGAAGATGGTTATGATGATGATGATGATGAAGATGATGATGTTTGTGATGTGATGATGATGTGGTGATGAAGATGATGATGGTGAGGATGATGGTGGTGATGATGATGATGGTGATGAAGATTACGTTGGTGGTGGTGATAATAATGATGATGATGGTGATGAGGATTACGTTGGTGGTGATGAAGTGGATGATGATGTTTGTGATGATGATGAAGATCATGGTGATGATGATGATGATGATGATTAAGTTGGTGGTGATGAACCATGAACCTGTGTCTCCGCCCACAGAGCCTAAACAAAGCCAACAAGGAGGGGATGATCGGCAGGAAGTTGTCGGATCACAAGTTAAGTCACCGCTCTGATGGAGAGTGGCTCCACCTGAAGCCCCTGAATGAAGGTGAGGATTATGGGTAAATCCACAGAGGCAGCTGAGGGTCACGGTGATGTTAGAACCTCTGCTTCACCTCCTCTTCCTCCTCCTCCTCCTCTTCCTCCTTCCAGACCCCGACGGCACCGCCGTCTCACTTTACA